CATGCGGAAAACAAGAAAAACTAGCATTTTGTCATTGGCTTTGTCCTGCTGGTGATTTCTATCTCTCTAGTTTCCTTCCCTTCCTTTGTGGGCATGACTGGGTTTTTCAGGCATTCTGAGCAAAGATCTGATCTTCCCAGGTCACCCACTCCTTCTCCAAGAGTGGTGTTACTTGTTTCCAATAGCAAACTGCAGTGTTGTAAAATCCATCCCTTTACAGAAGTGCTTTTGGGTATCGCTTTGTCAGGTAACCTTGTAAAATGGTATAAAAACTGCACTAATTTTTTCAGCTTTTCACTTCAAGTGATGGAGATTTGTTCAGGGTTAAGCAAAACAACAACAGAACTGAGCTGTGTTTTCCATAAAGCTCAGAATTAAGAGGTTTTGCAACAGTTCTATCAGTATGACTGATGTTAGCAAGGTTGCTGTATAAACTGGCCTCGCTGCAGCAGAATGGTGTTTTGAAATGGTGTTTTGAAAGGAGCAGTTTTATCCCTTGTTTTAGCAGATTTTGAGACTGCCTGACTACAGAGCTGGGATTTAACCCCCTGTTTGTTCCAGTGCAGAAGTTTTGGGTTTGCACTCAAAGCTTGTTTACTACGGGATGAATGCCTGCTGTTTTGGTGTGGAATTAATTGCTGCTGCGTATTGATACTGATAGGAATGGACACTTTTTGGTCTCCTGGCCCTTTTCTATTGTGTTGACATCACATTTGCTTTCTTCATCCCCTTACCTGGCCATATAAGAATTCCTCCCTGTTTAGGGGAATTCCTGTTACTGTGTCACTGATTTCATCTTTATTTTATATTATCTTGCTGGTGACTGTGGAGTATGGCACTTCTCATACCAATGGAAAAATGTCAGTAATACTTACTTTATTTTTAGGATAAAGATGGACAACCAGTATTGCCAAAGGCTGAAGAAAAACCTAAGGTTAGCAAACTGATAATATGGTGGGGGTGTGAATAGATACCCTGTTTTCTCCCACTCTGTCATCACTTCTCTCTGTGCTGTCATGTAAGTCTCTTGGTCTGCTTGTGTGTTTGCTTCCTTGCTCCAAACCTGCTGATATGAAGTGTCAAGTGAAATTCACTGGCTGTGAGTGAAGAGCTCATGGTGAGAAACAGGTCTGGAGATTAGAAAAGCAGGAGAGAGTTACAGAAATGACTGCTGACACAAAGAGAAGCTGTATGGGGAGTTAGTGTAACGTATTCTGGGGAAGTCTGTTGTAACTACTGAAGGACAGAGAGAGAGGAGGCAGGAAAATCTTTTTGGCTTCATGACAGTTTCCTCTCATCAGTCATCAAATCTAAGAAGGAAAGAAGGAAGAACCTGCCGTGGGCATTCTGATTGCAAAGAACAAGTTGGACTTTGCAAGAAGTATCCATTGTGGCCTAGAAAGTGCAAGATAGATTGAAAAGATTGAAAGAGGAAGTTACAAAGGTTGATTAAAAATGTACAGGAAGGAAGAAAAAATTAGGAAAAGCAAAGGAACTGTGCCCTGAAGAAACGGAGAGCTTCACTTGGTGAACGCTGGGAGCTGAGGAGCGCTGCCGGAATTGGGAAAGTGCAAGAAACCTCCGTTCTTCTGAAACCAGTGTGCAGGTCAGGACCAATCTGAGCAAGAATGACACTGTGCCTTTTTAGCAGAAATGTGAAGTCATTTGTATTATTCAAGCTGGAAATACAGGGGGATGCAAAGGCAGCGATGAAAAGACTTGATGTCTCTTTACATTTTGATGTCAGGTCTTAGATGTGCAGTCGCCTTGTGTGGATGATGTAGGAGAGCTGCACAGAAGGAACGCCTGCCAAGGGCATCATAAGGAAGAAGAACAGCTGTGCTCTGAGGGCACCAGGCACTAATGTTAGGAGAAAAGCCTTCCTGCTTCGCAGGGAGCACAAAAGAGGTGGCACACATGAAAAAGAGAAGCTCCAGAAGAGGAACGTGGCATGAGTTAAGGGAGGTCGGTTCATAGATTGTCTGAAGTCCAGTACAAAAGCAAAGCAGAAGTTGAGCTCAGAATTCTTCTTGTGCCAGAAGAATTAAGTGGTTAGTAGAAGAACGAGTATTCCTGTGTTCTTCCACCCCTAGCAATCAGAGGCACAAATAAATTGAATAGTTAGGGAATCACAGGGATGTAAAAGTCAGATGTTGCAGTATTTACTACTTCACTGTTTAGAGTCTGAAGAAGGCGATTTTGAGCAAGATGGGTATGGGTTTGCCAGTGTTCCTGGGGTATCATCAGTAATTTAGATTTTGGGAAACCAAAACCAGCAAAACAAAAAGGTGATGTCAATCGCTGACAATCCTTCAAGCACTTACACTTCTTCCTTGATTCCTGGTGAATGCCAAGTTCTTCTTCCTTCATGATTTCAACTGGGGCTTCTGTTAGTTTGGGCCTCCATTTGACATAACCTTTAAGCACATGCAGTGGCATTGCTTTTGTGAAAAAAGTTGTTATTGCCTAGGTGCTTTTTTTGATTTAGTGGAAGAATTCAGGCATCATGAAAAGTTGAGCCTCATCTGATGAGATGTTTCATAAAGACTTAGGGATGCTGATGGACAAAGGAAAGAAAGTGGGAGAGAAAAGAAGAGACTCTCCTTCAGAAATTTCAGCTTCCGTCTTATAGATTTGACGGAATGAGCCCTAACAACTAAGTTCCACGTAGCAAGTGGATGGAAATCACTGCTGGCAAAGACGGACACATTTAGGTGTAAACAGTAGTCTGAAGGATCCCAGGAGCATTAGTAACAGATCACAGAAATACATAGATCTCATAGGACTAGATCACACAGTATCAAGAGATCGTAATAGACCACACAGTAGGGAACTAGAACTGCTGTTTATTTCCTTTTCCCTAAAACATGTGCAGTGAAAATCACAGAGTGCCAGCAGCCAGTGCACAAGCTAAGAGTACTCACAGCGGATGCTGCTCTGAGGGAGCTCTGCTTCTGCTGGGAAAAAAGAAAAAAAATTAAAAGGGGAGAGTTCTGGTGTGACGGTGCTACTTTCCACTACCTAGATGGAATTTATACTTGAATTATTAGAAAAGCACGTTGCTCTTACAATAAATGCTGTCTAGTAAATATTAGCATTTTTTTTTTCTAATTAAGGGATTGCATTTTCCTTTTCAGTTGCCCTGTAGCAAGTATTGAACATAATGTTCACTTTGTTATGTTGACTTGTGATAACAAAGTAAATGGTTTGTTCTGAAAAGTGGTTTTCTTAATTTTGCGCACTGTGAAATTCATGCTCTCTTGCTGCACCTGAATGTGAAAGGGAATTTCAGGGCAGGCTACAAAAGTTTTTCCTGCTTTCTGAGTAGCTGAAATGTAATTCTTGGAACGAATAAATTGAGTCAGTGAGTCACCTGTACCATGTTTGCCTTTTTTGCAGCCTTTGAGTGAATCTGATCTTGTTGATGAATTTTCAAAAGACTTTGCCTGCCCTGCCCAGCCTGCAGTACAATCCAAACCATCGAAGCCTAGCAGCACATCCAAAGTACGTCTTTCCAGTTCACAGCAGATGCTGGAGCTGATAGTTTTGCTAAGACTAGATAACGCTACTGTTCTTTCAATAAAAATGTTTTCTTCTGTTTCTGTTTTTCCCCCTGCTGTTGCCTTCGGTGGAACATGCAGTATTGGCACTTAGGCCTTAATTGAGGGGCTTCTACCTTCACATTTAGACTTTTCTTCCTTGTTTTGTACTTTATTTAAAAAAATATATAGCAAGTCACTTAACAGGTACGTTTTGGGCTTCTGAGCATCTTCAGCACAATGCAGTGTACTTTTTCTGTTTCAGAAGCCTTCAGATCCTGTGTCTGCAAAAGCTACTGAGGATGAAATAGTCCCTCGTGCCATAGCTTGCACTGTGCAGTCTTCAGCTCCACCAGCTGTCTCTTCAGTGAGTACTCTTAGCTGGAGCTACAGCAAAACTCAGTGCTTCGTTTATGCAAGGGTATAGCATATTGTCAAGATGCTTATTGCAGTATTCCCTGTTCTTCCTCCATAGAAGTGAGGCACAAAGGCTGAGTGCTTTCCAGAAAAATGAAGTCGAGCACAAGCTGAATGGGGAAGGTCAGCGACCTTCTTGCTAGAGGAACTCAGACTGGCAGTTCTTGTGGTCTACTCTAGCGCTTAATGCTCTAAAAGGGGTGTTGTTTGTGAACTTGGTAGATACTGCAGGAAAAGACAAATTCTACCAAAAAGTCATAGTTGCCCTGCTGAATATTTTGGAAGATTGCATTGATGGCTGACATTCTTGCATCTCTTCTCACAATATATATGCTTGTATTAAAACACAAAACAAGCAAACAAAAACCCACCTGTGGAACACTGTAGCTGTGAGTAAGTCTTTGGAAAGGTGAAGCCTGTTTACAGAGCAACCCCTGTCACAGGTGCCTGTGCCTGGAACTCAGGAGATCCCAAGAATACAAAAATGATTAGGGAGAGATGCATTACCGTTTTTTAGTTTACTTCTCAATTTTCACTGTAAGTAATGTGTGGCTGGCGGTGGTAGTATATGAACAGGTTTCTTCAGCTGCAGCTGAACTCAAGACTGAGACTTGTTTTTGACTGTATCGATACCCTTACAGGTTGGTCACGTGGCAGATGAAGCCCTGGAAGCCTTGTCCAGCAGCCTGGGAAAGAGGGAGCCTGATCCAGCCGAAAAGAAACCTGCTGTGGACAAAGTTAAGGTAGAGAAACAATCAGACCTCCACAGATCAACTTTTGATGTAATTCTCTTCAGTGTTACTGTATTTGCTCAGGCTAGAACCAATTTGGAGATAATATTTTCAGTTTCTTTAAAAGCAACATTTACTTATGAAATCAGTTGTTTTCTGCTTAGGAAGTACTAGTAGGATTTCAACACAGCGAGTGGGTTTTCTTAGTCGTTTTGCCTCTTACAAAGTACAGTAGTTTCCTCAGCTTCTGAAAACTGCATTTGCTTAGTGTCTTACTGCTGGACCAAAGCAGAAATAAGATGCACATCAGAGGTACGTACAGTCTGGCACTTTCTCAAAAGGAACCAACTGCATGATGAGTTGTTTAATTAAATTAGGAAGGATACCTCAGACTTTGGTCTTTTCACGGATTCTGTTATTTTAACAGGGAGCCTTAAGGAAGTCCCTGAAAGATGTGTATTTTGTCTCAGGGAATACTGTTCTTGGTCACAGTCAGAACACCCCCATTTGCCTCCCCAAACCATGGGCTGGATGGTATTGAATGGAGCTAAAAATAGAGGACAGCTCTTCTGGTGGGCTGGAACTCTACCAAACAAAAGTTCCCACAGTTGGCTTCACTGTCATCTTCCAGGGTAACTTGTGGAGGGAGTAGTCCTTTTTGAAGAACTGATTGGCTACTAGTTTTTCTGTTCAGCTTTCCTTTGCATGCAGCACAGGTAGCTGTGGAGTGCATTTCAAACAAAGCAAGGACTGAGACTCCGAGGTGTAATGCTATTTTGTCATTGGTCTGTGCTTATCTGTTTACTTAACTCTGTTGATCTTCATTGAAATAGGCTACTTGTGATATGCACAGGAAGAATCAGGCAGAGAAATGAAGGCTTTCTCAAGAGAAAGGGTTTCTTTTCATTTGCATCAGATTTTTAGCTGGTGGTTGGATTGACAGACTTATTTGAATTGGTAGACTGAAGACTTTAAAAGCTTGCTCATGTGCACGTCTGTTGGGATGTAGTTCTTGGGTTTTATGAATACTGTTTTTATTTTGCCTTCGTAGGAGAAAACCAAACAGGAAGCACGCCAAAAACTGGGGGAAGATGAAGAAACAATTCCTCCAGAGTACAGATTAACAGAAGCAAAAGTAATTTCTTTAATGTGGTGTTTTAGTCTGACTTCCCTTTCCTTGCTCAGAATATATGGATGAAACTGAAGTGCCATTTCATTTTGAAATGTTGATGTTTGCTTCAGCCATTTTAATAGACTATAAAAATTCTGGTTTGTGGTTTCTGAATACCTGATGTCTGTCATTAGATGCCTGCACAGGCACAGAAACAGTTTAGATGCAGGTACCTACACAAGACTAATTTTGGCTGAGATTAGTGCACTGGAGTCTTTCATTAGGTGTTTGTATTTTAGAACTTGAAACACTGGGATTGATCAAAGCTGTTAGAAAACCCAGCGCTTCAAGATGCTGCTTTTACAAACATGACCACACGACTCGTTTGACCTGAGTGGATTGCTTTGCTGTAGCCCAGACTCGCACAACACCTGCCACAGCTGCCGGTGTGAAAAGATGCGGCTGTTCTGGACTCTGCATCCAGGAATATTGTCCCCAGTCTTGAAGCTGGAGGTTTATTTATTAATTGTGCTGTTTCCATGGAACTTGAAACATGAAGTAGGGAAGCTCAGATTCCCACACACTGAATCCCTTTCCAGCCAGCACTCGGATGTTTCTAAGTTACAGGACCAGGATTTTTTTAAAGGACACCTTGTGTAACACCAGTAGATGCTGGAAGTTACTGGTTAGATCGTTTTCTTGTGTAACACTATCTGTCATTCAGGGAATGCTCTCAGAGTACTTGGATTGCGTGGTCATTCCAGGACTGCTTGGTTTAATGTCAGGGGCTTTTTCTTTTGTAGGATAAAGATGGAAAACCACTTTTAGCAAAGCCTGAAGAAAAGTCCCAGGTAAAAAAGTGAATATTCCGATAAATGTTTCATTCATTAATTATTTACTCAAATGTCAGTAAGGTTTCCCAGTCTTCAGTTTCAAAATGGAGCTTGGCTATGTTGCCTGCTCACTTCTTTACAGATGAAAAAGCTTAGGTGCCTCTTTTTATTTTCTTTTTAATGATAGCCTATGACTGAAAATGATCTTTTAGAGGGTTTGACAGAAGGATTTTCCTCTTCTCCATCCCCATCTGCACCATTACCTACACCAACTGTAATAAAGGTGAGTGTATTTGATATGTGAAAAGCTGTTGTAGGTTCAAATTGTTTTTTACAATCTTGATATTTTATTTGTTTCCTTTTAAGTTTTATGTAAGCTTTCTTAAATAAAATTCAGTACATATAAATGTTAATTTTTTTTGCAATAAATTAATAGAAGGGAGAGCAGGACTTTAATAATTAGAAAAAACTAAAAAAGTTAGTTGTATCTTTTTACCAGTTGCTTGTGTAAGTAATGCTTTGCACTTGAGACTTTTACAAGGGTTACTTAGGAATACAGGTGGCCTTGATGAAATCTGAGCTCCTCTGAAGTCACATAAATCCTGCCTCTGACATAAGCTGTGCCAGGGTTTAACCCAGTAGTTGAGACGGAAGATTGAACATCAGCAAACTGAGATGCCAAACAGTTGCACAGTGCTTCTCAGGAAGGTGTTTCAGTCTGAAATAACTAGAGCTTCTAAGAAAAATTAAGTCATAGAAATAAACTGCATGAGCATTGCGTTTTAGATGCATGGAATTTAATATGTATTTTTCTTTTAGTCCACAGTAATGATGCTGTGTCTTGTTTCAGAAAACCAAGGAGGGTAAAGAGCCTGCAGATTCCTCGGACATTATCTCTGCTGCTACAGTTTCTTCAGTGCACTCAGCAGCTCCTCTAGCTTCTACCTCAGTAAGCAACGTTTTGTGAAGATCCTTATCCAGGATCTACATTTCCGCACTGAGAGGGTGGTCAGACACTGGAACAGGTTTCCTGGAGAGGCAGTTGATGTCCCAAGCCTGTCAGTATTTAAGAGGCTTTTGGACAATGCCCTTTGTAACATGCTTTAATTTTTGGTCAGCCCTGAAGTCGTCACTCAGGTGGACTAGATGGTGGTTTCAGGTCCCTTCCAACTGAACTATTCTAGCCTAGTCCAGTGTATCTGAACCTAAGACCTGAGTAATGAAGAGAAACAGGAGTATTATCTGGCCTGTTACAGAATTGCCTCGATTGTAAAAAGCCCTTTAAGATCATTGGGTCCAAACATGAACCTCACACTGACAAGTCCCCGACTAACCCATGTCCCTCAGCACTGTGTCTACACGACTCTTCAATCCCTCCAGGGATGGGGACTCCACCACTGCCCTGGGCAACCCCTTCCAATGCCTCAGAACCCTTTCAGCAAAGAAATTCTTCCTCACATCCCATCTCAACTGCCCTGGGCACAACAATTTCCTCTTGTCCTGTCCCTTGGTCCTTGGTTGAACAGACCCACCCCCACCTCTCTCCACCCTCCTCCAAGGGACTTGCACAGAGCCACAAGGTCTCCCCTCAGCCTCCTTTTCTCCAGGCTCAACACCCCCAGTTCCCTCAGCCACAAGGGAACTCAGCACACTTGTGCTCCAGACCCTTCCCCAGCTCCGTTCCCTTCTCTGGACACGCTCCAGCACCTCCATGTCCTTCTTGGAGTCAGGGGCCCAACACTGAACTCAGCACTCGAGCTGCAGCCTCACCAGTTTTAGCAATATAGACTGTTGCAAAGTTAAATAATTTCTTGCTGCTAGTGTTTCTGGGAGGGGGGAAGAAAATGTTCCCTCTGGGGAAAAACGTGTGAGTTTCTGGACACTTGATGTTCCCCTGCCTATGAAGACCCGTCTGCCTGTTTTGTTTTGAGTTCTGCTCGCTGTCACATTTCAGGCTGCCTCTGAAACCTCCTCACCCGCGCTTGGACAAGGGAGTGCCCAGTCCCGTGCTGATTCCTCCAGAGTTACTGGGGACATCACAGGATACGTGCATTTCCTTTCCATGGGTCGATGCAGGGACTTGCCCATGTGCAAGTGGTTTCATTTGTAGGCTTGGGCCTTTAACCAAACCACACCTTTCTTTTCCTGGTTAGGTACAGAGAACATTTGAAATAATAGCATAAAGTCATCTATTAAGCCTATCAAAGGAGGAGGTCGAGGTTAAGGGAGGGACAGGCAGTGCCCTGACCTCCTTTTCACACCAGGAGAACTTCCCTTCCTTGCATTTAGTGGCAGTGTCTCCTTCTGTCTCCATTTTGGCAGGTGCAGCAGGAGCTTCTTGTGTTTCCAGCCTGAACTGGAAGGGGAATATAAAGCTTCGCCCACCTGGGTTTTAATTGGTTTTAAGGGCTTTTTTTCTAACCCGTGTTTGAATAAAACTGGGGTGAATGAGCAAAAGACCACGCCTATTGTGAAGATAAAATGTTTTCATTCAGATTGGCACTTGTTTAGCAGCTGGTCTGCAGTGATAATGATGTTTGCCCAATGAACGGCAGTTCCCAAAAAACAATCTCTCTCTAGAACTGTACTCATTAGATCAGTTAGGCTTATGTGTAACGAAAAGGCCATGAAGATAAATTCCATAACCCCTGCTTAAAATTACGTTCTCTGTAGCACTAAGTATTTTGTAATTTTTGTCCTCAGCCATCACATTACATCGTAATTACAAAGGGAGAGAGGCTTGTTCATTGTTCACTGCAGCTGAGAGTTTATTAGTCAGTACTTATATGAGCCTGATGAATTAAATTATTTTTTCCAGCTGATTTGCGTTCACTAATTTGTTTGTACTTTGTTAGGGAGGAAAAGAGATGGATGAAGCCTTGGATCTCCTTTCTGATTCCCTGGGCCAGAGGGAACCCGACCCTGATGAGAACAAGCCAGTTGTGGATAAAGTGAAGGTAACAAAAAACACTCTGAAACTTGTGCAGGCTCGGGGAAAACAAACCAACCAATCAACCAACCAAACAAAAAAACCCAAACCAAAACTGAGATGCTTACATTTCTTCTTAAGGGTTTTTTTTCTTAGATAATATACTATGTACTGTAATATTTCTTACATACTTGTAGGAGTAGGTGGCATGTGATTTTCAGATGTAGCAGTAAGTTCACTAGAAAAAAACAACGTAGTCTTATGTTGTCCTCTGTGCAGTTGTATCAACCAGTTCACTTAAGTGTTTTTTGCTTCTAAACATGCACTCTTCAGTCAGGTGGATTACTTGTGTTTTTTTCTGACAAATGTTGGATTAGTGAATATACTTTAACCACTTGGAGGTTAAGTGTTGAAATATTACAGGAAATTGAGAATCGTTTGATTTCAGTGCCTTTTATTGTCATTATTCTAATTGCTTTCCAGGTGTTTTCTCTGGCCTCTGTTTCTAAAATTACTTTTTTGGCCTTCTTTTTGTCAAACTTTGACTTTTATAACCCCACAAATACCAAATTCATCGATTGACATGTTCATTCTCCAGTCCCATTTTTTAACTTGATTGTTTTGTCTTCACTCAGTCTCTCTTCATGGAATTGTATAATGAACTTTCTGCTAATAAGAAGATCAGATGCATTTCTGCGTAGTAGTAGTAGTAGTAGTAGTAGTAGTAGTAGTATTAGTAAATTGCAAACTGAAATCCTTAAGGTATGTAAGGACATTACTGGGGCAAAGCAGCCACTGTAAGCTGCCCATAAATAAATGTAGGCTGGAATCCAGAAGGATATTTCTGATCTCAGACCAGGCCCCAGCACGGAGGTTATTTGCTGCTGTTTTAACAGGTTTCTCCAGTCTGGGTAGCATTGTCCCTTGCCATAGCAAGGGAGTGAACTCTTCATGTGTGAGACCCCAGGAGCTCCTGTGCTTCAGTGGATCTGGAGGAACCCATCTTTTTTCATGTGTTGTTCTTTACAAAGGCATGGAAAAATGCATCTGCTGGATTCAAAAACATTCCCAAAAGAGAAGAGTCCCTTAAAATGTCTGGGTTAACAAATGCAAAAGTATTCTTCAACAATGTGCTTAAAAAACCTACTTGTATCTAAAGCAGGTGTTTTGTTTGGCCTGTTTCTGGTCTGTTCACCAGAAATCAAAGCAGCATAAATTGAAGGATAAATGTAGTGGAAGGAACGCTTCCCTTCTTGCTGCCATTTTCAGGAGCTTGTAGTGCTCTGCCTTCTGGTTCTGTTGGATCTGGAGCTGGCTCTGGATCCTGCCTCTGGTGAGGAGTGTAGGCCACTCTCAATCAGTTTGGGTGTGAGGTGGATAAGTGCCCTGGGTTCTGCTAAAGGTGCCCAGATGCATTCGCAGGTAAGACATTGCAAGGACATCAGTGTTGTGTTAAAGCTACAGTGCGTGGATGAGATTTGATGCAGAAATGTGAAATGACTCCTTTCAGTCACATTGTTGAAAGCACAACTGAAAGTTGACATAACTTTTTTTTTTTAATCTTGAGATGCTGCCATGTATATATCAATTTAACTGTTTATCTGTTTAACTTATTAAATGTGTACACTTGTTGAGAGCTTGTCATTTGGAAATGTTCAGGCATGAAACACACCTCATAGTGAAATGAATATATTGGTTTTTTCTGGTAGTTTTAAAATTTGAAATTCAAAAAAGGCATCTGTCCTACATTGAATGAGCACTCCAGCTTACTGTTTGCTAGTATTACTAACATAAGTATTGAAGTTGTTAAAAAATTGAATGCTTTCAGGAAAAGGCAAAATCTGAACACAGAGACAAACTTGGAGAAAGAGATGATACCATCCCACCAGACTATCGAAACATTCTGCTGTCAGGCGAGCAGGTAAGGAGAAGCTTTGTTAGTTTTTATTTAGCTATGTTATTGCAACATCAGAAATTTGTGTATATGAGCCAGTCTGTCCCCTTTGGAAACCTGGAGAGAACAGGGAAGCTGAGTAAGTGTGTACTATATTTATGTGTCAGAGTTAAACAGCTAAATAACCTACACTTAGAGTTGTTCTGGATTTTAAAAAAAAAAAAAGGAAGAAAAAAAGTAGATTTTTTTTTTTTTTTTTTAAATTGGGTAATCTGATAAAATAAATCACTTTGAACTGCCCAGTAGCAATCAGCATCCTGGAGATTTAGCAGTGTAGACTCCAGTTACACTGGCTCAGTGTTTTAGTTGCTCCAGATCACCAGGAGAAAAAATAGGGTGTCTGTCCTTAAACAGCTTGGCTTTATAGTCTGCTCTTGCACAGGAGATAGTTGCAAACTGTGGCTAATAAAGCTTAGTATTACCAATTAGTTTTGTTCCACATTTGTGGACCAAGTGTAGATAGAGGTATTACCTTGGTGGTGTGCCTGAAGCCCTGTGAAACTGCCATTTGGTAGAGCAAGTGACCGCTCTGGCAGTGATTTGATCTTCTGTGGATCAGGAAACTGCTTTTTTCAGTAGACTAGCAGGACAGAAAAATGGTATCACAGACTTAGTAAAGTAACAGAGCAGGAAAACACAGCGTGAACTTGGAATGCGTAGCATGAGAAATAGAGAAATGAGTTCAGAGCAGTGCAACTATCTTGGTGATCTGTGAACTCCCAATGTCATACCTAAGTATTTGTCTTAGAACTCCTCTGACCAGTTCAAAATGCAGATGTGATGTTTCTTCTTCCCAAGGATAAACCAGTAAAGCCAACAGCAAAGGATGATGTGAAACACAAAGAACTCAAGGTAACATTTATGATATTTTTGGTGAGTGTTTGTTTCACGCTGTGTGCTCTGATCTTTTTTCCAAAGTAGTGTCATTGTAGGCTCGAGGTGTGATTGATTCATTGCAAATTCTCATAAATGCTGTTGCATATGCAGTAGATAATAGCACTAGTGTGGACAGTAGGACTTTTGTGAAGATTAACTCTTCACAATAACTGCAGTTTTTATGCACAACTGCACTGTGAATGTTCGGGTCCTGTATTCAAAGACGTTGTATATCTTGGAAACCTCAAATGGACATCTCTGTTCCAACAGATGTGTAGAGCTCAGGACTGGGTTTCTTTAGGAAAGGGATAATTAAAGCAGACAGAAATTCCTGAACCACTAGTTTGACTGTGGGAAGTATTGCATATTGTGTGACTTCAGAATTAAAATTATTGCAGAAGCCTGCTGAGGAGTCTGCAGCTATCGATGCCCTGTCAGGTGACTTTGATAGTTGTGCGGAGGTTCCTGCCACACCACAGCACTCAAAGGTAGGACATTTTCTGCTAATAATTTGCAAAATAAAGAGTTTGTCACTACTCTGTGAAAGTTCCTCACTTTTCTTTGCAGTAGCTCAATTCAGGTTTGGAGCTAGCCTCTTTGGAAGGTGCTGTCCAGATGTAGCGATTGTCTTACTACTATAATGGAAGTTTGATGCCTCCTGCTCTGTACTAAATATTTAGAGGAAGGAAGGTGTGTGGTATTTAGGGTCCTTTAGAGGGGTAAGACAGGCTTGGAGAAGTGAGGTGAGCAGAGAATTGTGGTAATAGTTTTTGTACCAATCAGAGTGTTAAAAAAATGTAGAGAAGCAGAGAAATCTTTATTCAAAGATTTCACAGACTACCTAGCAATAGTTGTGGGCTGGAACTGAGACACAGTTGAAGAGGGTTTTGCAGCAAGAAATGCTAGGAGGAGGAAAGAGTTTTAGGTGTGTTAGGGAAAATAGTAGAGCTGACAAGAAAAGAAGGTGGAATGGAGTGGAGAGGTCCTGTTATGAGAAATGGAGTGTTTCTTTGTCATCTAATCATCTTAAACCCAGCTGACAACAACTGCCAGACTTTCCCAGCAAAGCGCTGCACGTGAGAGGCTCTGTGAAATGAGCTAGCAGTGAAAGCTGCATCAGTCTGGAGGTGATGACCACAAGGATGGTGTTTGAGAAAGGATGGTTGTGCTGGAAAAGAGCATGAGTCTCAGGGGTCTGAGATTTGGTCCGCATGTGAGAGGAATCACTGGCAGACACACTTTCTGCTTGCTCTTAAGAGTTTAAGACAGTTTAATAGGTAAAGCAAAAGCCACATGCACAAGGAAAAGCAAAACAAGGAAGCTGCAGAACCATGGAATGGTAGCAGTTGGAAGGGAAGGGTCAAGTGTTGATGGGTAAGAATCGGGGGGAAGGCCAACAAGACGGATAGCATGGTGGGAGTCTGTTATAGACCAGCCCACCAGGACGAAGAGGCAGATGAAATATTCTATAAGTATCTGTGAGAAGTTCCGGTGACCGGTGGCCCTTGTTCTTGTGGGGAACTTCAACTTACCAGCTGTCTGCTGGAAACACAGTCCATCAGAGAGGAAACAGTTGAGGAGGTTCCTGCAGTGTGTGTGGAAGAGAACTTCCTGACCCAGCTGGTGAGTGAGTGAGCCAGCTAGGGAAGGTGCCCTGCTGGACCTGTTGTTTGTGAACAGGGTGATGTGATATGAAATGACAAGAGGTTTTGATTTTTTGGAGAAGCAAGGAGGGGAGTCAGCAGAACTGATACCCTGGTTGGGGCACCTGGGATCAGCTGTCCCAGCTGTGTCCGCTCCCAGCTTCTTGTGCACCCCCAGCCCACCCGCTGGTGGGTCAAGGTGAGGAGCAGAAAAGGCCTTGACTCTGTGTAAACCCCGCTCTGCAGGAACTAAAACATCCCTGTGTTATCAACACTGGTTCCAACACAAATCCAA